AGAAGATGACCCGGTATAGTAGTGCTTCCAATTATCCTTCTATGGTCCAGACATTACAAAGACAATATGACAGAGCCAAGAAGCTCAACCATCCAATGAAAATGAAAGACCCTGCATACAAACTGATGTTGACCCAACTGTTGATCACCTGGGTATCTGTTTTGCACTGGAATGACAATTATAAGAGCTTACCTACTGTTTAAAATACGCTTTTCATATTATTGTTGTTGTTTAGCCGTTTCAGTTGTGTCTGACTCTTCATGACCCCATTTGGGGTTTTCTTGGCAAAGATACTGGAGTGGTTTGCCATTTCCTTCTCCAGCACATTTTACAGATGAGGAAACTGAGAAAAATACAATGAAATGCCTTGTCCAGGGTCACACAGCTAGTGAGTGTCTGAGGCCACATTTGAACTCAGGCCTTCCTGACGCCAGGCCCAGTCACCCAGCAGCCTTAAATGCTTAGTAACCACAGATGTTCTCCACTTCTCAGTTGGAAACTCAGCACCCTAATTATTAGGTTTGGTACCTGACTCTCACCTCTACCTGATGCCTCTTAACAGGTGGTACACAGGGGCTCTTCCATGTACTCACTTTTCTTGCAGACAGTATGAAGGTGGAATGGAAGGGGCCAGGAAATGTCCTGCTTTCTCAGCCTCACAGGATCTGATCATATGATTTAGAACCAGAAAGATATGAGACATTAGAGGTCATACAGTCCAAACCCTGGCATTTTAGAGATCGGGAAACTGAGGGTCACATTCAGACCCAACACCTCCACTTTCTACTACCCCATACTTACTTTTTACATTTCCTTTTAGCACTGATTACCATCTGCCCCTAGCCCCCTACACAGTTCAAAAGCAGGTCACTGAAACTTTCTGCCCTCTCAAGGCAAAAACCATGTTTTTCAAAACATTTATATTTTTTCTTTCTCCAAGAGGGCTTTTCTGATTGTCCCAGTTTTTAATCTTCTCTCACTCACCCAAAAATCACTCTACATTTGTGTTAGCCCAGTAAAATGTAAGCCTCTTATGGGCAGGGACTGCCTGTTTTTGTCTTTGTGTTTGACACATAAAGACACTTAAAAAAGCTTGCTGATTAATTTCTAAATCTGTAACCTTTTGGAGGTCAGTCTCATTGAGAGAAGCTCCCATGGTGCCCTTTGGTGCTGACAGAAGAAGCATGCTAAGCTACTGTACATGACATTGTTTTATGTAGTAGCAACACACTTGTCATTAGCTTCATCGTTTTTTTCAGTATTAGTTCAGATTCCCCAAGTTTGAACATTCACTACAAAGTGGGTTCATCTGATCCTATGCTCTGGCTTCTTAATGCAATGGCATTTATACTATGGATTCCTTAGACACGACTGAATTTTGATCTGCATTAAAGGAATACAGGAGCATGTTTTATATGTGGCTTCCTACATGTGAATGTTGAATGGATGTCTTTAAATTTCCGCATAACAGGAAGGCTGCCTGCCTCCTACCCTATACTATTCTTGGCCATCTCTTTCCTCATCCCAACACGAATGTGGTCCCCAAACAGTGAACACAGGCATCTGTTGCTCTCACTCCCTAGGCAGTCCAATGTCTGGATGAAGACTTGCTCCCAGTGGCTGGCTCTGGCTTCATATTTGGGCTTGAATGTTTAAGCAAAAACATTCAGCTCAGGAGCCTGGGTCTGTTGCTTAGTACTTAAAAGGCCAGGTCTTCAGGAAGACTTGTCTTTGCAAAGTTTCTATTAATACCTGTTTTAAGTCCTCTGGGTCACAGTGGAGTAGGGGCTCATTTTTTCATATCCTCAGAGATCTTTGAAAGCTAGAACTTGAAAGCTTTGAAAAGAGCCAGGAGCAAATGGAGATGAGTGAGTGGGGTGAGAAAGAGAGGCGAGTCAGGTGATGCCAGAAGGTAGCCTCTCCACCCCAGGTGGTCCTTATGCTGTAGTCTCTCTCTCTTTTTCTTTTTCTCCCTCCCTCCGCATCTCTGTGTGTCTCTGCCTCTGTCTTTCTCCTTCTCCCTTCCTCTCCCTCATATCTCTGTCTCTCTCTACCTGTCTCTCTCCCTCTCCCTCCCTCCTTCTGTTCATCTCTCTGTCTCTTCCTTTCTCTCCTCCCTTTGTGTGTGTTTCTCTCTGTCTCTCTCTCTCTCTGTCTCTCTCTCTCTCTCTGTCTCTCTCT